TCAAAGAAACAAGCCAGTATGATCTCACGTCTATTAACTTTTGAAGGTTTACAGCAGTTAAAGTATTTTGCTTCTATGTATGAAGGTTAAAAAAAATCTTTTTTTCTCCCATAAAACACAAGAGCAACCAATTTTACCATCAAGTAAAAGTAAAAACTGGGATTCTTTTTAAATTAGTCCAAAGTGACATTTAGGGACTTAGTTGTAGGCTGCTGCACTGACAGACACCACGACAAACCAAAGTATAGGGCTGGGTCTCATTTTGTTTTGCTTTGCTTTTCAGTATCCAATGCTCATGGATTAAGTTCTAGAAATGTTCCAATTGTAAGACAGGGATTCTACCACGGGTATGACTCTTGGGTTGAATGCTGGAGGGTGAGGCACATTTTGCCGGACCCATGTCTACTACTTAGTAGTCATCAAGGTCAAAAAATTCATCATCTCCTTTTTTCCATGAAGGAACGAGTTTCTTTGGTCTACATTTTCCCAGCACAGTCTTATCATTGAAGGAAGCTGAGGAAGGAGCTCAAGCAAAGGTCACACGGTTTTACTGGCTTCCTATGGGTTGCTCAGCACCCACTCTTTAAAAAAAAAAAAAAAAAACAACCCAAGACCACCTGCCCAGGGTGGCACCACCCACAGTGGGCTGGATCTTTCTTTTTTTTTTTATTGGATATTTTATTTACATTTCATATGTAGTCTCCTTACTCCACCCCCCCAGCCCAGGAACCCCCTATCCCATCGTCCCTCCTCCTGCTTCTCTGCGGATGTGCCCCTACCTACCCCCCCACTCCCACCTCTCCACCCTCGAATTCCCCCACACTTGGCGTCCGGGCTGGATCTTTCTACATCAATCATTAAGAATCAGTAACAGTCCCACAGACTTGGCTGTAGGCTAATCTGATGAAGACGTTTTCTCAGTTGAGGTTCCTTCTTTGTTTTTGTCAAGATGATAGAAAACAAAACAACAACAACAAGCTAGCAAGCACATTCACAGAATCCAAGTTAGATGCTCCAGAAAGCATTGATGGGGTTGTCTCTTCACACTTGCTGTTTGATCGAGCCAGGATTGTGGAAGGAGAGGGTAAGGTTGGAGAATTATTCGTCATACCCTTTCCAAGCACCCCCCCCAACCCCCGCTGGCAGCGAGCAAAAACAGAAACTGAGACCATGCGTTATGGACATGCTTTCTTGCTAGAAAAACACCATGGAGTTCCAGTTAAAGGGCCCTCCATATAAATAAAAGAGTCCATTTGTATTCACTAGTTTTTATTGGAATAAAGCACCTTGCCTGTTTGTTTGCATTGTGTCTGGACTAGGATAAGAAATGCAGTGTTTGTCAATTCCTGAACAACAGCCGATTCCAGAATGAGTTGGTTTTCTTAGGGAGTATATGCCCAGGGGACTGTCCTCAAATCCCAAAAATTCAGTGAAAGCAATGTATCCAGTAAAGGAGAAATGCCCTGGGACTGATCCGGGACAATCAGTACCTAAAAACTTGCACTACTGCCTGGAATGCCCACTGTGGTCCTGAGGCTGTGCCATGTAGTAGCAGGAAAGTTGAAAATTTTGGTCATGAAAAGGTAGTGTAGGACTAGGAACAAGGTGACATCAGGCAGATGTAGCAGAGAACACTGGCAGCCATAAGGTCTCACAGCTAACCATTGAACTGATCATGGGGTTCCCAATGGAGGAGTGAGAGAGAAGACTGAAGGAGCTGAAAGGGTTTGAGGCCCCATGGGGAGAGCAACAATACCAACCAACCAGAGCTTCCAGGGTCTAAACTTCCAGCCTGGGAGTACATAGGGAGGGACCCATGGCTCCAGCTGTATATGTAGGGGAGGATGGGCTTGTTGGGCATAGGTGGGAGAGGAACTCCTTGGTCCAGTGAAGGCTGGATGTACCAGTATGGGGGAATTCACGGGTGGGGAGGTGGGAGTGGGTGGGTGGGTAGGGGCACATCCTCATAGAAGCGGGGGGGGGGGGGGGGGTTGGGGGTTCTTGGGGGGGGGGGGGAAGTGGGGAAAGGGGGTTACATCTGAAATGTAAACAAAATATCCAATAAAGAAAAAAGGAATGAAAACACTGTATAACAGAGTGAAAAAACAAATAATAATTTAAAAAAAGAAAGAAAGAAAGAAAGAAAGAAAGAAAGAAAGAAAGAAAGAAAGAAAGAAAGAAAGAAAAA